GGGGGGGGGAGGGAGAGAAATGTACTTTATAATCCATTTGTTCGGAACAGTTGAAGACATAAACCATTTGTCCAAGAGCTCTACCGAGGTCCTTGGTCGTCTCGGTTTTCCCCGTCCCTGCAGGCCCAGCCGGTGCTCCGCCCATTATCAGATGCAACGATTGCGTCAACGTAATGTAGCATCTGTCCGTCAACGGCGTAATTACCAGTCGTGGCACGTTACCCAGGTACTCGTAAGCGTATATGAAACATGCGTCGCAAATGTTGGCGAAGCAATCTCCTGATTTGTCGTCCCACCTACGAGGCGAAACAATCTCTTTCAATTCTCTTTTTTCTTGCACCTGCGCGAGAAGATTAGTGTCTACGGTATCGGGACAGGAATGAAATACCGGGATGGAAATTCAATACAGCTGTATTACGGTAATTCGTATTTTCAAAACCGATTTATCGACGCATTAATACAAATGTCGGTGCTTTTACATTTACAAGTTTTACTTGTAGGTTTTTTTTTTGGGGCTAATTGGACAAAGAATTATAAATCGTCACTATCTTATTGATGTTTAAATTCATTGATGGATTCGAGAATATAGAAAACAATTAATACAAATTTTCAATGAGCGAATAATTTCTTCTGAAAGTTCTTCGATACGCGAATGTTTTTTTTTAATAAAGAGATTAAATCAGTTACTTATATAATCTCCATGTAATCACCTGTGTTTTAATTGCGACTGCCATGCAAAGCTAGAAGAACTCTCTGCTTTAATAGATATTAATTTTCCGACAACGTCACGCGCATGCACATCGATGGTACAGATAGTCATGATCTTCTGGCGATCGTTTTCATTTAACTCGCCGCGCAAGATTGCAATCAAAGTGTTCAGTTGGCCGATCTGTTTTTTCTGGTAATCCTTGAGCGCGTTCTCGAATCCCTCTTCGAGTCTCGCGAATGCTATATTCACTTCAGTGGTCCACCAGATTTGCGTGCCGCATAGAGCTGGCTGTGCCTCGTAATCTAGAATCCAAAGTTCGCGAGGCTTCTCATCATACGCTGCGACAGCCTGACTGAAACGGTATCTGACACTTTTCGTCATTGCCTCTGTGACGCGATTCAACCAAATCTCAACCTGTAAATGAGACGATTACGCAGATAAATAACTGGATAGTCGGACTAGCGTAGCCATGAAGTGTTAAGTATGAGAAAAAGTATAAAATATTAAACATACGTTTATCACTATTATTATCTAACAAAAACAAACTGGTATATAAGTCATGACCAGTATGGTTTAATATATGTGTTGTTCTATATCTTATTACGTTCTGTCTTTTCGAGTTGGTTAACTTAATACCTTCCCCGTGCAGTCACACGTTCCATGGATGGCCATTTCCTCTCCATCCTTTGCTATCATCCTGTTAGCGTGTTTCGTCGGTTTTCCATCTTCAATTTTCCACTGGAGCTTTGCCAGCGAGTCATACAATTTGGACAAATGCTTGCATACCAATTCGGGATTGTTTCCTGTTGCAATAAAATATATGTAATTTCGCAAAGTAAATTTCTTATCGTGAAAGAGAGAGATTTTACCATTGCTTAATATGTCCAATAGATCTGCTGACGAGATGAAGTAAAAACGTGGGTAAGCTAGTCTTTTTGTCTCTAGATAATCAGACAGAGCTTTCTCGCAAATATTCAATTGTCTCTCCAATTCCTCGAGCCGATCCAAAAGTTTCGGTTTATTCGTTGACTTTATTATGTTCAGATTGCTCAACATTTCTTTCAACAAATCCTTGACAGAAAATCCAAAAATATCCAATTAATATAATCGTAAGATTATATAATTAAATTATTAAAATTAAATTATATAGTTAAATTATTAAAATTAAACTAGAAATGCATAGAATTATTTATTGATTCCGAATAATTTGTTTACTATAAAAAAACTGTATTATATTTGTCAGATTTTTCTTAAAATTACTTTAAAATCCTTGTCTATCTTTTCAAAACGCTTCGACTCTTCCGGCAATTGACTTCTTATGTCTTCCGATCCAATGAAAATACTCTCGAGGTGCATCCAAGCTCGTTGAACTCGAAACCAGGCATTGATCGTGACATCTGCATTGTTAAGCTTTTGTTGCCAATCTGTCACTTCATCGAGGAAGTAGGCAACATATTTGGAATCCAACATGTTTTGTAGTTGTACCTACGATAATAACCTTGTTCTGTCTTCAGAGTTGAATCAGAAATCCTGACGAAAGACATACCTGATTCTCTTCCAACATCTCGATTACTTCTTCGCTTATATTTAAAACATTAAGTTTAGTGCGTTCATGTGTCTCTTTACCGAACTCAAGAATATCCCATATGTTGTGCAACTCTTTGAAGACTTTCTCCATGCTCATTTCTTTAACTGCCTTATCTACCATGTTCTTAACTTCCTCCTCAAATTTGTGAAGCTCTAATTTTAATAAATCTTCCAAAGTGGTTTTATCATCCATAGTGAATTTTACCTGTACGAGTTTGATTAGACTTTTATAAATCAGATAAATTAATTTGGAATGGAAATTATTTATTATCATTATATTAAAGTTTAAAACCTAAAATTAAATGATATATGTATATTATGCAAGTAGCATTTTTTAATGGTTGATGAATTTATGAAATAAGCATTTCAAAGTATTATCATTAGGGAAATAGCATTATTTACGAACCCGAGTTTTAACCATAAGTTCTTGCCAATGTCTGTCCTTGATGGCGGGATTTTGTAATTCTGAAACTGCTCGTAGTGATGATATCATATTTCTCACTTGTGCTTCTATATGAGCATATAAATCCCAAGCTCGTGCTTCTTTATCTAATTCTAAATTAATGTAAAGCATATTGGTTTCTTAATTTATGACAAATATTTTGTATTAACATATGTGTGTATATATACATATATATATATATATATATGTATATCGTTTGCATAACATAGTAGATAAACATAAAAATATGTATGTTTAAATATTGAGAAGATACAATTGACATTCCGATTTTGAATCTTTAAAAATTTAATAATTTTATTATACTTAATTATTCGAAAGTATCAATTATCAATGTAAAACTTGGATGTGTTAAGTTAGCACCCTATTTTTAAAAAATTAAAAAAAAAAGTTTATTAAGCGGAACTCTTGTTATTAACTATAGGGAACTCTTCGTCTCATCAAATGGATATGGGAACTCTAATCAGAACTCCTGAGTACTATAGTTGGGGTGCTAACTTAACACACCCGTAAAACTTACGTCTCAACTCTCGAATCAATTTTTTACACTCTTGTTCCATTCCCTCGACATCTATCTTTTTCCAAAATGTTGTCTTCCATTCGTCTAAACTCGACGTAATGATATTGACATAATCCCAAAGATTCTTCAGAAGTTTTAATTCTCTTCTAGCAGACTTGATTTGTTTAAATTCTGTCATCTGTTGTTCAAATATGTTCACTTGATCGTGCAATGCCTTTAGTTCCTCTTCGAACTTTAGAATTTCTTCATTTATCTTGTCCAATTTCTCATATACATTCGTACAATCGAAGCTATTGATTGGTTGTAATTAATTATAAATTGCATTTAAATAGTTAAGAAATTGAAAATCTGTGTAAACTTAAAAATTTTTTTAAAAAAAGATATAGATCTTTGTACACTATTTTTAATAACTTAATTTTTTTTATTCAAATAAATGCTGCGATTGCTTTACCTAAACACGATGTTCTCGCGAAAGTGCGCTAGATACTGTTGTTGCCTGAAATCATAATAATTGAGACGTTTCTTCAATAAATCGATTTGATGTGCCATCAAAGGATTCACAAGCTGTTTCACTTGCGCCGCCCATTTTTTAACCGTTGCCCATAGCTCCGGTAATTCTGTCAGCCAGTTATAAGTTTCGTCGCCAAATTTCACTTGGTATTGTTTAAGAAGATCTATAGTCGCCTGTGATTGAATCAATTAATTGTTACTGAATATTTTGTTTTATATAATATTATTATACATGCAGAGTAATCATTTATATTTTTTATTATTTTCATTACCTTTATAGGCTCCCACATATCGTCAATTTGATACTGTCGATCTCGTACCTCTTTTAAATAATATATAGTGTTTAACAAGTCCTCGTAATCATCTGGTGCGATTGGCTGGGTAAATTTCTTTAACGCGTTCGTCAAGAATTCGCTAAGATTTCTGAGTCTGTAACGTATAAAGTCATGAAAATTGAATATATTAATATATATATGTCGTATTAGTACATTAATACATATGCAATGTTAATCAATTTATAAAATTTAAAAAGAAATATAAGGCAAGTATGATTACATAAATACATGTTATGTATACATATAATAACGAATACGTACTCGTTGTTGACATAATCAGTCAGATGTGTCTTGAATAAATTAGTCCACTTGCAGATTGTATTTAGTAAAGCTTGTTTCAAGGCTCTTACATCTAGCCGCAGCCAACGCAAGAAAACTTTTTCATTCTCAAACTCGTCGCATTTTTTATAAAGTTCCATAAAATAGTCAATTTCTCTTTTAAAATCGGCTAATCCTGGCTTTCTCTCTTTTAAATGTTCCGGCAAGTTTTCTTGCGCTATCATATTTTTTTCCTCGTTCGTAAGTGCGCGGCCAAAACGTAAAAACAAGTTCAAATATTGTTGTCTATCGTCAAGCCATAACCAGGAAAATGGTTCAAAAATCTGCAATTTGAAAAATATTAGTTTTCTTGATGCATATAAATAATGGATAAGTCATTAATTAGATGTCTGTTGTTTTCTCTTAAATAGATGGAGTTTACAATGCCAGAAGTAAGTGATTAATTGCTCTGTTATTCTGAAGTTTGCCATCAGAATCCTTGTTGTTTTATTGGTTTGGGATAGTGAAAGTTCTATTGCATTACATTCACGCGTTATTAAGCTATTGCTTTCACAGGTATATAACAAGCAGAATATATTTACACACTATTAAGATTAAAAATAAGATAATCATAAAATTGTTTGAAGATCTTACAACGATATATTCTTGCGCCTGCACCAAACCTAGCTTGATTCGATTACACGTTTCCTCGAGCATGAAAACGATATTTTCTTCTTCTGCTAAATCAACCTTAAAGTATTATATAGCGATTAAATAACAGAAGAATGAGATTATTATATGTGTGCGTGTGTATGCGTGAACAGTTATGAATAAAAGAAGAGAAAACTTTATTAAAGTCCACAGATTAGCTGGAGAAAATTACAGCTGTTTTTATTACCTACATATCTTTTCATTTCTGCAGTTTGCTAATTCCTTCCTTTAATCGTTTTGACGTAAACAATTAAGAAAAAATTATTTTACTTTTAACACGCAAAGTATGGTCGCGATGCAACAAATGCGCCTGTTATTGACCACCCTATATACAACGACGTACTCCGTAATGCTTCCGTTCCGTAGCGATGTCAGGATCTACGCGTGGTATTAAAGTTCCCATTCTCATAATGTCAAGCAGCAAACTCTCGTAAAATGTATAAAAACCCTCGGAATTATCCGGATCTACCGCAGGATGAAAGACGATGTGGGGTACCTCGAGCGACAGTTGAATCTCGAAAAGAGGTGATACGTTACTTTCCGGATCGGTTTCATCGAGCAGGTAACATATGCTGCGGCGTAGATACGTACCGCGTGAAAAACAGTTTCATTATCAATTAGTAATATTTAGAACATTTCGAGAATAGCATGTTAAACTTTAACTTTTAGTCTTTATACGTTATACTTTCTACTTTCATTTTTAAAATTTAAAACTTTAATATGTAAGAAACATTTTAACTAAATATTTATCCATCGATATAATATTGCAAATAATGTAACGGTACTAATAATTGATCGGCAGAAAGAAATATGAACTTTAATAAATGTTTGATGGAACTTAGTTCTACCTGGTAGAAGCAGCTTGGATCAAAGCTTTTGATATCAAACTGTCGACGTAAACGAGATAAGGCTTCCATTTGCTCATATTCTGAGCGATTTGCTCGCTTGTTAATGTTATTCCAGCTGCCGCCATCATTCGTTCATCCCTGCCGGCTTTTTCATATTCCATAGCATCGCGCGCAATTATTCTTTCCTTCTCCTCATCAATTCTGATGATAATGATAAAAGTATATTTTACAAAAAGTTTAAAAAAATTCTAATTTGTGTAGTTTTATCGTTACTTACGAATAAATGTATTACACAAGCACAAGTTATACACTCTAATATTGAGAAAGGATTGGTATGCATACCTCAGTCTGCTCGGTAAAGTTTGCAAATCCTCTGTATCTGTTCTTTCTTCGAATTCTCCAAGTTCTTCAAACTCTCGTTTTCTTGCATCTATGCGCACGTCTGTGTGACGAATATATTATAATTTTATATTTCGACTAAATCAATGAAAATTTAAAATCCAAAAATTATCTCATAATTTCGTCATATAAAAAAAAAAAGATCAAAAGCCTTTGAAGAAAAGTAGTGAATAAAAGTTACTGTCATCCAATTCAATCTCATCTTTCTCGTACACTGAATCGGGCAGTAAATCGAAGAAAAGTTTATAATTTTCATCCAAGACTCGATTTAGTTCTCTATTGGCTTGCTCGATCTGGTCATATCTCTTTTGGAAATTCTCGTCGCGTTCACCGATAGCGAGCAAGTTCTCATCTTTAAAATCCTTACGCTCTAATATGGGCGACATCGCCCACGCGTAAATCATTCGCAACAACGTGTTCATGTTTTCTTGAGCATAAAAGATCCGCGAATGTAACTTTCGTACTAGACGCAGCAAATTATTTATATACTCTGGTACTTCTGTGAAATAAATTCTCGATGGTAGTATATGTTAATTGTCATATACAGTGAGAATTGTTACGGAGTTGATTTTCTTTGTGTAATCATATCTGTCTCTCTTCTCTTTGACTTGCTTTACAGATTATCTCTTTGAAGCAAGACAAAAAGTCACCCATTAGACAATATTATGAACGTTATAAACTAATTAATCGTTAATTAAGAATTTCACCTGGAGAATTCCAATTATAATTTTCCTGGCCAATGCGAATTAATTTGTCCACGTTTTCAATTTCGTGCTTCAATAATTCAAACTCTACAGGCAAACTATAGTTTCTTATCCAATTGTACCTACCATTTGAACAATGTTATGTAAATGGAATTATTTCTCATCAGTCAATAATATGTTTACTTACCATTGTGTGAGCAAATTAAGATTATAGGTACTCTCAAAAAAATATTGCATTCTGTGATATAATTGGATTGCTTCTTCGGGTAAGTCTGTCCTCTTCATAGTGATCATAAAGCGAATTTCTCGCAGTAGAGCAGTCAGTTCTGGATCAAAGTTTAGATCGAGTAACTTGTTCTCGTGTACTATTAATAAGCTTTTCGACAAATGAAAGTTGCTTATATCGACTATCTTGCTGGTCCAGTCCGTGAATATTTTGTACTCCATCGCGTTCATGAGTGACTTATGAAAACACGATGTACTTTTATTAACACAATTCGAATATTGAACAAATACCAGTCTAAATCAAATAATTAAAATCTATCGGTTTTTTTTAGGATTTTGTGACCTGCATATTACCTGCATTTGATCGTACTTCGGTTTAGTTTCATGTGCTATTCTGAGATTTATTAAAGGATGGTCTACCAATTTCGCACATTGCATCGGATAGTCTATCTGTTGTCGCAACTGCGTCAACGTACATAACGCACCAGCGACATGCGGGAAATACTGATCGGTTTCAATCCATTCGTCCTCCTTGTAATCCTTGAAGATACTATCAAATATGACCTGGAAATAGTAAATGGAGTCTATATGAGATCCATCATGTATCTTTATATTATGCTTATTAAATCTTAATATTGTAGAGCACTTTAATGTCATCAAAATGGTTATGAATTCTTTGAAGCAATCTCTCGTAATTGTGCCATAACTGTGCCATGATGATTGGTCTGTTGGCCATCGAGCCTAGGATCCATATTATCTTAAACATGATTTCAGTATTATGGCATTCAGAAAATGCTTGATCGAATATATTTGCCAGCTGTCTGTCAAAGTCTTCCACCTATAGTCGACAATTTTTTACTGCGATGGTACGATTTTTACGTTACGTGAAAAGCAATAATAACGTGTACGATATATTATTGTGTTTACTTTTGCTAAAAAAGAAATAACATGATCTGTGAATCTTATTTCTTCTGGCATCAAAATATCGTATTCTAATTCACCAAATTCATTGTAGATATTAACAAATTTTTCATGAATGTCATATATCTTGGAACATAACATTTTCTTTCTTAAACTCGCGAATTCCATTCTTTCTAGTTTAAAATATTCCTGGGCCGTTTCAAATAATATCTAGCAAATAATACGTAATAAATGATTATTGTTATTTGTAGAGAATTACTTAAATTATTCTACTTTAAAAATAATAATCATATATTATTTTTACGTTATGTAAAAATGCATTTTAATTTTTTTATATTTCCAATGTCTATACATATGTATGTGTGTGTGAATATATGTATATATTTTTTAAATTGTTAACGATTTATTTTACGTGCGAATCCACTTATGGAAAGCTTAATATTTATTTTAAAAACAAATTACGAACTTTGATTTCTCCCAAACGTTTTTGAAAATTTGTTATTCTTCCAAGCACCAATTCATCATCAAAATTCCATGGAATTGATTCGGTCGAGTGTTTAAAGTAATTATCCAATTTACTTCGAAACGTTTCAAACATTTCCGTATAATAAGTCAAAATGTTTGTCACATGCATTAATCGTTTTAGACTGTCCTCGATATCGCCAGTGAATAAAGTACTCTGATCCAAATATTTGGTAGCCTGCGAAGTTTCTAGTTAGTAATATAATAGATATTTCTGTATTGTTAGAAAAGAAATAGATTATAATTAAAAGCATAGACATATTAGGCTAATGGCTTGAATAAATATTAAGGACACACCAAATTTTTTAAATCCATATTACAACAAAAAGCTTCTTTTTTTTCACAAAATGAAAATGGTTAAGATATTTATTAACGCATACTTTCTTGAAAAATATAAACTAATTTTTAGTCGTCATGCAGAGAACATCTTGACTTCTCGAGTGTTTCAGTATATAATACTTATATTTTTTTCTTACATACCTCAGTAATTAGCAGATTAGATATTTCAGATAATAGCGTAATTATTCGCGTTGGAATGCAATAGTATTTTGAATTTGCCCATATCAGGCATATACAATGCAGCAGTGGCTTCAATTTTAGCTGTATATCTTTGAATTCGGTATTTTGTATTTCTTCGAAATGAGGTTCCAATGCTTTTAAGTAGGCGCATACATCGCGTGCTTCGATTACCGCTTAAGATAAAAATTGTTATGAATATTACATAATTTTAGTATGTTGAGTTTACTTGAAAATTAATTAGTAAACTCTGTTTCTTCATTAGATTAACTAATTAGAATGAGGTAGCGATATATACTTATTACAGTTTAAAAAAAGAACGGAATGCTGCTCGACATAATTAATTAATACTCTTTGTATATCGTTCTATTAACGCTAGCAAGATCTAACCAGCGATAACGTCCTTCAACAGAGCCTTGAAACGTGGTGAATAGGGGCTCTTGGTTAATTCTAGAATAGATGCCATTTTTTTCACTCGTAGATCCCTCATTTGACTGTAAATAGATTCGACGTTTACAAGTCGTTGACACCAGAAATCAATTTCTGCAAGTGTGTTATCGATGGTTAACATTCTTTAATTCTTAATTCAATTTCTATCGATTAAATTTGGTTGGTCATCACTGATTCAGGAAAATAAAAAATATATATTCTTGGGTATGTTAAGTTAGCACCCCAACTATAGTACTCGGGAGTTCTGATTATACTTCCCACTTTTTTTTGACGAGACGAAGAGTTCCTAATAATTAATAACAAGAGTTCCGCTCAATAAACATTTTTTTTACATTTTTTAAAAATGGGGTGCTAACTTTTTATCAAATTTCGAGGTGGAATAGTTCTGAGCTGCTTAATAGCTTCAATTTGCGATTACCTAGAGTTCCTGATATGTAAAAAAAAATTTTCGAATAATAAAAAAAAAATTAAAAATTTTTGAAAAATTAATTTTTAGATACAATAGTTCTGATGATAATTCCTGCTTCTTTTTGACGATACGAAGAGTTCTCTATGATTTGTAATGACATATGCGCTTAATAATCATTTTTTAATAATTTTTTAAAAATGGGGTGCTAACTTTTTTAACGAAATTCAAGGTCGCATAGTTCTGATCAGCTTAACAGAACTATTTTGTGAATACCTAGAGTTCTTGATATATAAAAAACATTTTTGAAATATAATAAAGTTTAAAAAAAATAGTGGAAATCTTTGAAAATTTTTTTGAGAGTACCGAGTAGTTCTGAGTAGCGTTTCTTATAGTACTCGACGAGTTCTATCGAAAACTGTAAGATGAAAAAGCGATTGGACCAACGGTTTGCAAGATACAGCGACATTTGTC